CAGTGAAATCATTTAAATCGTGATATGCTAGTTTGTGCACCTCTTTCCGATCAATGGACACGGTGGCCATCATAGCGGACTGCCACGCTAGAAGGTAGAACATATAATCAGAGAGTAATTTAGATATTGCTCTATAATCCACATTGTCAGATGCAGTATTCTGGTCTACTTGGAAGTAGATTTCAGTGGCTATGTGCCATGTTAGAAGGCTTTCTGTGTAATCTAACTTCTTGATGCTCCAGATGAGATTCTCATAATCATCAAGAATTCCATCACCTCTTTGTAGACAAAGTCGTTTGCCCGCTTCTACCGTCTCCGCTTTTTGAGCCTTCCTTGTCAGTTCATAAAAAATGAAGCGCCATTCTTGATCTCCTAAAGTTCGATCCTCCAAATTACTAATCCTGATGGAAAGAAAATTAGCCAATTTGACCAACCAACCTGGACAATCACTAAAATGATCGGCTATAAGGTTGTGCTGGCAGATTTTTTTGGACCACCTACGTCGGTTCTTGACTCCAGTACTCATACGATCAAACTCCACTTTCCAGTACAGAAATTTGATCTTCCGATTACCTTGCCAATAGTAGTGATCCAGTAAATTTAAATCTGAAGAAAAAAGCAGTCCGATGGATATGAACTCCAAAGCTATGGCCGAAATCAACAAACTATAGGTTAGCCAGACATCGACTTTCCCCAAGTTGCAGTGCTTTGTAATTGACATGAATGACATCAAGGCTCCGAAGGAGCAACCCAAACTAATGACCCGGCCAACATATCCAATCTTACAATGAACCACGGGCAACTTGGTGTAAAGAGTTTCATACAAGAGGCTTAGCTCAATCTCCATTACACGGAGGACGTCTTCTGACTGTCTTCTAAGAAAGGCTCTTCTGCTCAAGTTGCGCCGATATGGAGATAGAAGAGGCCCAACAAGTAGATTCTTGATAGTGCCATAAGGTCCCAATTCCCTTCGTAACATGATTCCAAAATAGTGGCTCCCGGTCTCAGATTCACTAGCTGCAGTTTCTTCTAGAAAGGAAACATTTGGAATATTATCTCCATAATGGTCAAAGCTTGCACGATACAAAGCTCTGTTCCGCTCTGCATATTTGATTACTCCTACAATGAGCACCAGGAGAGTTGGGAGCAAAAGCTTGTTATGTCTGATTGACTGAACGATAACAAGGACAGAGGGACAAAGCTGCACCATGAGCGCAAGCAAGTGCCTGATCCAGAGCTCATTATCCTCCAGAGAGAAGGAAGTAATGGTGTCCGGTCCACCTAGATGTAACAAAAGAAAGGGTACCCATAGGGCCAGGATATCATTACTCTCACCATGGTAGATGAGTCCAATAGTAAATGAAGCAACCCAATCTGCAAGCAAATATGCCATCCATAGTGAACTCATAAAAACAGAATCTCCCCTCCATTGTTTCCTATATGGTGCAAATAGAATTAAGAAAGACTGCAACATGAGGCTTAGAATAATTAGTCCTCTGAAGTTCCAGGGATCCCATAGTATGCTGACGCTTTCATCATTGTAGCGCACCATCTTCTTTAGCTTGGTTTACTTAATTTATCTTCCCAAAACTTGTCTAACTTTTGTGACCAATACCCTGATACATGAAGAGATTTCAGTTTGATCAGTCCTTGAGAATCAAATTATATGTGACAAATTTTAGAGTTGAAACTGTTACGATATAATGCTGAAATGGGTCTTTGCTTAGGTGTCAATTTCTTTGTTTATGTGTCAATTTATTGTTTACGTGTCTACCAAATAATATGCAGTTTTAGTTTAATAGTTGACAAAGTCCAAGTTTGTTACTTAGTGGAGATATAGTTCCTTGTTTTTAGAGATAAGAGTATTTTCTTGTTACCAGATTGTGTAGTCATCGTGTCCTTGTATTGTGCAATCTGTTGCTCTATATTTTCTATTTAAATGGGCACGGATCAATTGAATAAATATCTTCAATTTCATCTTTTCTGTTGCACACCAAGTGTTTGATTATTTGCCTCATAGAAATTTCAGTTACTTTAACCCCTGTTTTTTATCATCTGGTATCAGAGCCAGGTTCCTCTTTCAATTGCCTTTCATCCTTCAATTGTCTTCAGAAGAAATGGCCACAAACAACAATTTAGGAAGTGTTTCGCAACCAACCATTCCACTCTTTAAGGGAAGTGGATATGAAATTTGGAGTACTAAAATGAGGACTTTGTTTATGTCCCAAGACTTATGGGACTTGGTAGAGAGGGGTTACACAGAAGCTGCACTCTCAGCAGAGGCACTCAAGGACACAAAGAAGAAGGATGCTAAGGCGTTGTTTTTCATCCAGCAGGGAGTGGATGATACTATCTTTCCACGCATCTCAGCAACAACAAAGTCAAAAGATGCATGGGACGCCTTGCAGAGAGGATACCAAGGCAATGCCAAGGTGCTTACGGTGAAGTTACAGACAGTTCGTAGAAGGTATGAAGGTATGGTCACGAAAAAAGCTGAGAACTTATCTGATTTCTTTACCCAAATAACAGAAATTGTCAATCAAATGAGAAAATATGGTGATGATGTGCCCGAGCAAAAGGTGGTTGAAAAAATTCTTAGGAGCTTGCCTAAGAAATATGACCATATTGTGGCTGCCATAGAAGAGTCAAAGGATTTAGCTGTGTTAACAACAGATGAGCTACTCGGTTCTCTTTTTTCTCATGAAGACAAGATGAAGAGGTACGAGGATCCGGTGGAGAATGCTTTCTACAGCAAGCTACAGCTGCCCAAAAACAAATATGGAGGGAGCTCTTCAGAGTTTAGTAACAGAGGTGGATTCAATAGAGGAAAAGGTGCTATCCGAGGTGGAAGAAGAGGTCGTGGAGGTCGATTTGGCAACATTAGGCATCAACAGAAAGCCAATGAAAGAAGTGACTACCAGAGTTCAATTCAGTGCTTTGTTTGTAAGAGGTATGGCCATATTGCTAAAGATTGTAGAATTAAAGATAAGCAAGCTAATTTTGCACAAGAAAAGGATGATGAAACTGAAAGCTTATTTCTTGCTTGCTACACTACTAAAGAAAATGTTCCAGATGTTTGGTATGTGGACAGTGGCTGCAGCAATCACATAACAGGAAACATTAATCTCTTCATCAACCTGGACAAGTCAGTGAGCAAAAAGATAACCATGGGTGATGGTACCATACGAAAAGCACAAGGAAAAGGTACGATTAAATTGGATGAACATGGCAAGAATTGTATAGATGATGTCCTGCTCGTACCTCATTTGGATTCTAATTTGCTAAGTGTGGGTCAGTTTATGATGGATGGATATTCACTTGTTTTTGAAAATATGGCTTGCTATGTTTACAAAGATGGAACTAAAAAGGAGCTTTTAATTAAAGTTCCAATGGCAAAAAACAAGTGTTTTCCTTTAACTCTTGACTGTGAGTCTGCATTGAATGTCACTTTGCATGATGAAAATTGGTTGTGGCATCATAGATACGGGCATTTGAATTTCCAGGGGTTGGTACATTTGTCAAAACAGAATTTAGTGCTTGGTTTGCCTATCATTGGACAAGTTGATGGTGTGTGTGAAAGCTGTGTCTATGGCAAACAGCATCGAGATGCTTTTCCCAAAGGAAAGGTGAGAAGAGTTTTGAAACCTGCTAAGTTGATACATGCAGATGTTTGTGGGCCAATGAATACTTTGTCTCTCAACAAAAGCAAGTATTTTATTGTCTTTGTTGATGATTTTAATAGACTGACATGGGTTTACTTTGCTAAAGAGAAGTCAGATGCCTTCCCAATCTTTAAAAAATTCAAAGCTCTTATTGAAAAGCAAAGTGGATATTCAATCAAAGTTCTATGGACATATCAAGGTGGAGAATTTGTTTCAGCTGAATTTAACAAATTTTGTGAGGATTTCGGCATCAAAAGGCAGTTGACAGCAAGCTATATGCCTCAACAGAATGGGGTAGCTGAAAGGAAAAATAGAAGCCTTGTGGAGATGGCAAAAAGCATGCTGAAAGCAAAAGGTCTTCCAAACAGTTTCTAGGCAAAAGCAATTCACACTGCAGCTTATATTCAAAATCGTAGTCCCACAGCAACTTTGCATCATCAAACTCCTGTCGAAGCTTGGCATGGCTAGAAGCCTAAGGTAACTCACTTTAAAATTTTTGGGTGTCTAGCTTATGTCCATGTTCCATCTCAAAAAAGGACAAAATTTGAAGAAAATAGTGTGAAGTGCATTTTTCTTGGTTATAGTGATGAAACTAAAGGTTACAGATTTTATAATCCTATCACCAAGAAGTTACTAATCAGTCGTGATGTGATTTTTGATGAGAAAAATTCATGGAATTGGAATGAGAAGAAAAGTCCAGGTTTTGTGTTGGTTGATGGCATTTTGGAGGCTGATCCAGTCATGACAGAAGGTGAAATGGGTGAAGGTCAAAGTTCCTCTACACCTAACAGTGGCAGCAGACCATGTTCATCCTCACTTGAGACACCTCCAGCTCCAAGGAAAGCAAGGAGAGTAAGGTCCTTGGTGGAAATCTATGAACAAACTCAAAGGTGTCAAATGGCACATGTTGAGGAGCCTAGCTGTTTTGAGGAAGCAATGGAGAACAAAAAATGGTGCAAAGCTATGGATGAGGAAATAGAGGCCTTGGAAAGAAATCAAACATGGGAGCTTGTGGACTTGCCTAAAGACAACAAAGTTGTAAGTCTAAAGTGGGTATACAAGACCAAGTACAATTCTGATGGGTCAATTCATAAACACAAGGCTAGATTGGTTGTTAGAGGTTACATGTAGCAAGAAGGTGTGGATTTTGACGAAACTTTTGCACCAGTTGCCAAGTTTGATACTATTCAAACTGTTTTAGCTTTAGCTACTCAACATAAGTGGTCTGTTTTTTAGTTTGATGTGAAGTCAACTTTCTTGAATGGATTGTTGGAGAAAAATGTGTATGTACAGTAGCCTCAGGGTTATGAAATTGAAGGACAGGAGCAGAAAGTGTACAAGTTGAAGAAAGCACTCTATGGTCTGAAGCAAGCACCAAGAGCTTGGTATGAAAGAATTAATGCTCATTTTTGCAGCCATGGATTTCATAAAAGTCCAAGTGAGCCTACTTTGTATGTTCAGACCAAAGGTGGAGATGAGGTACTATTAGTGTGTCTTTATGTTGATGATTTAATATACACTAGTAATAGCTCTTTTTTGTGGAAAGAAATTAGAAGAATGATGGTTAATGAGTTTGACATGACTGACCTGGGTTTAATGAGATATTTTTTGGGGCTGGAAGTGGTTCAAAATGGTGAGGGAATTTTTATTTCCCAAGAGAAATATGCTAAAGATCTCCTTAAGAAGTGCAGAATGGAAGATTGCAACTCAATGGGAACTCCAATGGTTTCTAATCAAAAGTTCAGTTTGGATGATGGAGAAGAAAAAGTTGATGCTCATGCCTATCGCAGCCTTATTGGGAGTCTTCTTTTTCTCACAAACAACAGGCTTGATATTGCTTTTGCCATTAGTGTGCTATCTCGTTTTATGCAGAGTCCAAGCAAGACACATTATGGAGTAGCGAGGAGGATTTTAAGATACTTGAAAGGGACAATCTCTTTTGGCATTTTATATGCCAAAAATGACCAATTTAATTTATTTGGGTAGTCTGATAGTGATTGGGTAGGTTGTGTTGATGACCGGCGTAGTACTTCAGGTTATGCTTTCTTTTTGGGGTCCGGTGCTATCTCTTGGAGTTCAAAGAAGCAAGCCTCTACAGCTTTTTCATCTTCAGAAGCAGAATATATCTCCTTAATAGCAGCAGCGTGTCAAGCCACATGGACAAGAAGAATTCTGGAGGATATGAAGCAATTACAAGTGCAGCCAACAACAATATTTTGTGACAATCAATCGACCATTGCGATGACAAAAAATCCAGTATTCCATAGTCGAACTCGTCACATTGAGACTCGGCACCATTTCATAAGGGAGTTAGTGGTGAGTGGGGGCTTGGAGGTTGTTCACTGCAACTCAAAGGATCAAGTCGCTGACATCTTTACGAAGCCACTTCCTTTGGATAAGTTTATCCATTTAAGGGATTTGCTTGGAGTTTTAAATTTCAACATTAAGGGGGAGCATGTTATGATATAATGCTGAAATGGGTCTTTGCTTAGGTGTCAATTTCTTTGTTTATGTGTCAATTTCTTGTTTATGTGTCTACCAAATAATATGCAGTTTTTGTTTAATAGTTGACAGAGTCCAAGTTTGTTACTTAGTGGAGATATAGTTCCTTGTTTTTAGAGATAAGAGTATTTTCTTGTTACCAGATCGTGTAGTCATCGTGTCCTTGTATTGTGCAATATGTTGCTCTACATTTTCTATTTAAATGGGCACAGATCAGTTGAATAAATATCTTCAATTTCATCTTTTCTGTTGTACACCAAGTGTTTGATTATTTGCCTCATAGAAATTTCATTTACTTTAACCCCTATTTTTTATCAGAAACTCTCCTAATTAGACTCTTAAAGCTGTTGTACCTATGATTTTGATGATTACAAAACACATTTGAGTGACTAATTGATTTATCTAAGTGTGTAGTTAAATTGCCAATATACTGCAAAGTAAGCAAAATGAGATTGCATTAAAAAGGGCTCAAAGGGCAAAAATGTGCAGAGAGCCGGCTTAAGAAAATTGCAGCAGGCTCTAGGAAGCAAAAGTGCAGAGAGCCGGCTGCAGATTTTGTTGAGCTAGCTCTACCGGCAAGAAATTCAACTGTTGTTTTTGGCACTCGTGGAAAATGGAAGCAGAGCCGGCTCCAACTTTATAGCCGGCTATGAAGGCGCATTTAATGCACAACAGTAAACTCTTTTGAAGAATATTTAATGTATTTAAAGTTGGAGTTCCAAAGTCAGCTCAAAGTCTTACAGCTGACTCTCGAGAAAAACAGAATGTTCAGGAATCCCGTAAAGCCGACTGCAGAAATGGTGAGCCGGCTGTGTAGAGCCGGCTCTAGGAATCTAAGCCGGCTTTCCTAACAATTCTACAACTCGACTTTTGCGTCCTGCAGAGCATTTAATGACCCCCAATGGCTAGTAACGGCTATTTTCGACCATGGGGCTATAAATATGGTTGGTAACAGATCTGAAGAAGGTTAGAGAGCATTGTATTGAATATCTTTACCTACCTACATGAGCTTTAACTTGAGTTTTTGATCTTTGAGAGATCTTTGTTTGTAATCCTCTTCTTGTGCTATTAGTGAGTGATCTTGGGGGTGTGTTGA